CAGCCACGGCGTCTCCGGCATCTTCCTCAAGTACGACACCAGCTCCCTGATGGTGACGGTCAGCGAGCAGCACATGCCGCTGTGGCAGTTCCTGGTGCGGCTGTGTGGGATAATTGGAGGAATATTCTCCACTACGGGCAAGTTTAATCTGTTAACTTTTTTTTTTTTTTCCAGTGGCCCTAATCCTCTTCCGTACCTGTTTAATGTTCCAACATCTGGATTTACATTCATTAAAACAGTCGTTTAGCATTCAAGCTTCACCATGACTTGAGATTTTCTTTTTTTTTTTTTTTCAAACCAGGCATGATTCACAGCTTCATCGGCTTCTGCTTCGACATCATCTGCTGTCGCTTCAGACTCGGGGTCTACAGGCCCAGAGAGGTGAGTCCAAACCTTCTTTCATCATTTCTGCACATTTATACAAACTTTAAAAACACACTAAATCTGTTGCAGGAGATGCAGCTGCACAACCAGATGAATAATCTGAACAATCACCAAGCTCCTTTTCTGCTGGAAAACCCTCTTTAATCTCTGTGATTATAACATGCTTATTTTGGGATTATAACATCATCTGGTTTAAATCTAAGCTGAACAGGTGTGTTTCACGTCAATAAAACCCAGAACTTTCATTTGTAAACATATGCTCCCAGACGGTTTTAAATGTGTTTTTAGTTGTTGTAAATGTGAGTTCCGAATTATGTCTGTGCTTAAAACCAACCTTTGTGTTTTATTTTAAAGAGAATAAACTCCAATGAACCAGAAGATGCGTCTTCTCATTTTTTTTTAGGTTTCCTAATATCAGAGCTTTGGTCCAGAAACACACTGGAGCTTTAAATCCCTTAAATCCTTTTCCCTGCAGCAAACCCAGGTGCTTATTGCGAGCGGGGGGGTTCATGCAGACTCCTGCTGTAAAGCTGGGATTATTGTGCTTTGATTGATGCAGAGCAGGTGCAGCAGCAACAGTCTGACAAAATGCAAACTGTTGAGGCATTAAATAAACTCACCGTTTGCTTTTTTTCCTCCCTTTCAGCTAATTCAGGTAAATAAATGTTTAAATTTAAATTTACAGTCATTTTTGCTATTATTCAACGCTGCACTTTTAAAAAAAGATGAAATTGTCCAGAGAGCTGTTCCAAATGAAATTTCTTTTTGTTTTACACTTGTGTAAACAAAATGACAAATAAAATCTGTCTAAGTCTAAATAAATCCCTCTAAAAGGATTAATTTAAACATTTTTTCACGTTAAAAAATCTGGCTTGTTTCTGTTGTTAGCCCCTTTAATTAGGACAATCCTTTATAACAAAACTGATGGCAAGATGGAGCGGGGACCCCCTAATTATATATATTGTATGAAATAGTGTTAAACTGGTCCTATAGTCACTCTATTACAGATGGATTAATGTAATGAAAGTAATTTTTCCCTGGGATTATTAAAGTATTTCTGATTCTGCTTCCTGGTTGATGGGACAGGTGTTGTGAATGAAACGGTGCCCAGATTAAAAGAGCTCCTGTGTGTCGCTGAATGTGAGCATTGATGACCGAAAGACATCTTCTGCCTCCATTTATCTGTTTAATACAGTGTGTGGAAAATTATGTTAATGTGGATTTAAACAAATTTCATTATTAAAAAAAAAATTGCAGGGGGAATATAAAAAAAAAAGTCTAATCAACCAAAACTTTCGCAACCCCCATGCAGTACCTCCATGGACCCCCTAGGGGTCGCGGATATGGAAGTAAATCTGTGTCGCTGGGATTTGAATTAAAAATGCTTCTGAAATTTTAATGTATGTTTGTACTTACTGTTTCAGTGTTAAAATATATTCAGAACACATTTTTGACCTAAAAAAAAATTCATTGTCATTATTTCTACGTTATTTTCTCTTCAAGCTAAAAATTCACGTTACTATTTCAAAGGGATTACATTTTCAATACTTATTTTTCAGTTAAATTTTTCAGTGTTAAAAAAATCTGCATATAAAACAATTCAACCTTTCAAAATTCAAAATTAATATTTTCAGCCTCCTGAGATTCAACTGGCTGTCACGATTTGGTGGTGTTGGTAGAGGACCCAAATGCAGAGACGAGTTGGTTGAGATGAATTTAAGT